GGTCTGTTCTCTAGAGGACTGTTCCCAGTGTGAGTGGAATGACCAGCAACATCTAATACAGTCTGGTTGTCCTTCCAGGTTTGTTCCACTGGCTCTCAGTGCCCACGGAAGGCAAAAGTTCCCATCCTGGGTCCCTGAAGCTGGGCAGGAGGAGGCTACACTTCTGTACCTGTGGCTTGGGTTACCCTGATTCCTGCTATCAGCAGGAAGGACTGCCTCAGCACAGGGACCAATGGGACTCAGCATCTAGGTCCCCAAGCTGCTAAGTAGAAATGTCAAAGAAAAAAAAAATTGTGTCAAGTCAAATCAATGAACACAGGAGACACGTACACAATTAGAGGAGAAAAAAAAATACATTAAAAATCCTAAACACCTATATTGTAAAACTATTCTAAGATGAAAAATGGATATGATTAATTTTATATTAAAATATGTAACTGAAATTAACTCCAGAAGTGCTTGAGGACCTAACCTGCTTGGTAGGAGAAATCCAGAAACATAATGGTGCTAGCCCAGAGATCTCACACATAGTTTTCTCAAACTTAAGTAGAAAATGATTCTAAAACCAAGTAGAGTTGTCCTCAGGGGTTTCATTCCAGGACCCTCCTCAGATATCAAAATATGATGTTGTTCAATTCCCTCATATTAAATGGTACAATATTTGCATGTAACCTATACATATTCTCCCCTTTACTTTAAATCATTCCTACATTATTTATAATACCTAATATGATACAAATGCTATGTAAATGCTGCCATATTGTATTATTGGGGAATAGTGACAATAAAATCTGTATGTGTTCAGAGAGCAGATGCAACTTTTTTCTGCATATTTATCATCCACAGTAAGTTGAATCCATTGATGCACACAAAAGCAAGCTGTGGAATGATTAATCATAATTACGACTATTGATAGCAAAAATCATAAGACCAAGTAGCAATCACCTCAGGAATATAATAATGATTTACTCTTAAGGATTCTATTAACATAATAAAACATTCTACTAGAGCAAAGGGGGAAAGTATCTGATGATCTCCATGGATACTGGGAAGGCTTTGACAAAAATCTAATATGCACATTTTTCCAAGGGAGCAGTAATAGTTTGAGAGACTAAATGGATACCTTTTTATTATGAYAAGGAAAATACATGTCTTCATACAAACAGAATTATGTGAGACATTAAAATATCCYATTAACATTAAGAACAGACAAGTGTGCTATGTGAATCATTGTTACTTAACACTATTCTCAAACGCAATTGGATAAAGAAAGAAAGAAGCGTAATATTGGGAAGAAATCCAAAGAAAATCTGAGAAAAAATATCACAATTATAGTGGTTGATTATGACATTAATGTAGAAAACCCAATGACTTTTCTAAACATCCAGTTTGAAAAAATGGAAAAAAGTCATTCCATTGAAAATTATAGCAAAACAAAACATCTGTAAAAAGACAAGAGATTCATAATGTAGAAAACCCAATGACTTTTCTAAACATCCAGTTTGAAAAAAAATGGAAAAAAAATCATTCCATTGAAAATGATAAGCAAAACAAAACATCTGTAAATAGACAAGAGATTCATAGAACCTGTTAAACAAAACCATAAAACTCAAATGAGTGACTTAAAATTTGACTTGAATTTGCCTAGATTGTAGTGTTTCTGAATAGCAACACTCAATTTATAAATTGAGGCACAATTTTAAAAATTGATGCATATGACAGAGAAATAAAGAGAAAATGGCAGTTGATGGGTGTGTTAACTTGAAACTATTGAATAAAGCTTTAGAAAAGGGGCGAGAGAGAGAGAGAGAGAGAGAGAGATCAACAGAAGAAAAATAGACCCAAATGCTTAAAGAAACCAAGTTTAAACATAAGGTGGCATTTTGAGCAAGTGGGGAGAATATTATTTTATTACAGAAACACATTGTTATATACTGGATTGACACCACTGATCACAGATTGGAGGGAAGAAATAGGGTCTTTACCTCTATTTCTTGCAATAAAAGATTCCATCGAAGTCAGAAGATATAAACAAATGAAACCACAAAATTTTAGAAGAAAAAGTAAGTTTATTTATAATCTCAAAATCAGGAAGGCATTTAAATAAACTGTAAATAAATCCCAGTATCTGCAAAGAAAAATACAGATAAATTTACAACATAATATTATAAACATTCTATATGCCAATAAAAAAGCAAATAAACACATCAAAAGATAAATGATAAATTAAAATATTTCCAGACATAAGAGAAGAGCCTGACATGCATAAGAAAATGAATTAAGAAAAAAAGCCAAACAACCCAATTGAAAAACTGCATAAAAGTATAAATTTACAAAGATTGAAATTGCCAAAAAATCATTTGAAAAGATGTTCAACCTCACAATAGAATGAACTAAAGTCAGAATAATAGTGCAATACCTTTTTTTTTTAACCATGTTGGGAAAAAAATAAATTCAACAATATTTAGCACTAAATGGCTAAGAAACTTGTCCTTTCATTGTACACTTGGTGGGGTATCCACTGATTGGTGTCTGGAAGATAATCTGGCAATATCTATCAAAATGTTAAATGCACAAAGCCTTATCGTCCAGCAATTCCATTTCTAACTGGAATTTCTACCAAGATATAATCACAAAAGTGTGGTAAAATATACACACAGAGATGATAAGTATAGATTCGCATATAAAAATAAAAACTGGAAATATCTACATGTTTACCAATAAAAGAAAAAAATCAAATAAATTATGGTCCACTGAGGCAAAGGAATGCTAAGCAGCCATTTAGAGAAATAGAGGTAGATCTTCATATGTCACTGTGGAAAGATCTTTAAGTCAGAACACTAGGTGCAGAGTGCTTTGCATAGCATGAGGGCTAGAATATGTCTTTCTCCATTCCCAACTCTCTCCTCCTTCAGCCCCCGCCCTTCTTTTCCTCCATTCTAGAAATGTCTCTGAAAACTCATCAGTGGAGGACAAAAAGGAGTCTCTGTGGAGGACAAAAAGG